CGATCAAGTCAGTGATTTGCTTGAGGGGAGAAGTAAAATGAACTGCAATAGTTCTTAAGCACAATTGGTAGAGGTAAAGATTTTACCATGTTATTGAAAATAGTATCCCTATTTATAGTGGCAGTAGTAGGGTAGAATGGTAACTTCGGCCGAGTATGGGATGGAAGCCACGTCAACATCTACTTTACAGGTGTTGGCTAACAAGTGGAGGAGATGTTACTTCGGTTTTTAATGTGAAGTGATTGGGAGTGTGCGGTGCCGATGTGATCCGATGTGTCATAAAGACTATCGGAGGCAAAGGAATGATGATGCTCATAATGCATTTAATGACATTTATTGCGAAGTGATCAATTGTTAGTACGCGAGAAGGGGATCGAAGCTCGAGATATTTTTTCGCCATTCTACTCGTTTGGTGGTCGAAAAGTACCGCCTTTTGAATCGATTTCACAAAGTGTCGACCGATTAGTCGATCGAGTGGGATGATTAAGTAGTCGCATTAGCTAGAGGTCGACACGTAACGATTTTCGAGTCATCCTCGCAAGATGTCAGCGTGTCGAGTCGACCGAATTGGGCCTTTGGTTATCTTAAAGTACTGACTCGATTACGCATAATGTGGGACACTTGTCTGTCATTATTTAGAGATTACTTTTCAGCACTAGAAATAACAGCAACAAGCAAGAAAAGTAATACTTTTCTGAGTTCTATAAAGTTCTCCTACAAATTTTTATAGAAATACAAGGAAATTAATTTCTTGACACTTTTGTTTTTCCTTTTTTTATAGAAACCGAACTAAACACCCCCTTAAAGGAGAATCCAGAGAGTTACTGTTCATGATACAATGAATGCTGTAGCATGAACAAGAAATGAAATCACTCAAAATTACTATTCACATAATATTAATTTACTGTAGCACAAACCGTGAATCAAATTTGCTCAATCATACTTAAAGTTACTATTCATGCTACCGTATTTTTACTGTATCATAAGAGCATCTCCAACAGCTTCTCCAAAATTTTCTCCAAAATGGGGAAGCAAAAGTCATATTTTTTAACTAATTTTTACACCAACTCCAACAGCTTCCCCATTTTGAAGAATCCATTTTTTCCTCCAAAAATTTGGAGAATACTGTAGATTTGGGGAAGCTTCCCCATTTTTTCTCATCCATCCCTATTTTAGGGAATAAGATGGGGAATCTGTTGGACCAAAAACCTAACTAAATTCTCCAAAAGAGAGAAATGAGGAAGCTGTTGGAGATGCTCTAAACAGTAAAGTAAATTAAATATATTAAAACTTGGATTTTTTTTAAGTACAGAGGAGCAAATAAAATTTCTAAATCAAATGTTTTTAATATTTAGATTATTCTTTAAGTATAAAGGAACAGATATTATTTTTAATTTTAAACGTACAGTAATTAAATTAAATATATTAAAATTTAGAAAGAAACCAGTTTAAAATATAATAATTAAAAAAAAATAGTGGACCGTGGTTTACACGGATGCAGACTAGCCGCATTCTAATGGAGCATGTGGCAAGATTGCAGAAGTAATAGACAAATATGAATTTTTTCGGGTCTACACAGGCCTTTGCCTTTCCATAAAGTTTTCTTTATGTAAGCTTCGTAACTCGAATCAAATATTCTGGGGGCAACGGATCTTTTAACAAAGGATCAGACCGACAGACCCGAACCCTGTAATGAACAGCCCTACGCACAAGCCCAAGTTGGGGTAGCAGCCCATAGGTTCGAGTCTCCAACGTGGTGTCTACTTTTAAACGAATGAACCTTCTGGATCTTCGGTATTCTACACCGCGGAGTACGAAAAGCTCTGACACGTTGGCTTCTTGAATTATTCCCGACAAGAGTGTTTTTTGAGGTTATTCTCAACGGATAATTTACTTAATTTTTTTTTGCATCAAAGAGACACTAATCTTTGAGTCGGGCGGAGACATAATTTACTTAGAGAAGTTCATGCATTTGTTTGACGCCTATTTATTAAAGATTCTAGTAATACTCGTGAGATTGTATTGAAGGTTTCTATTGAATTCTGTCCACATCTAGTGAGATATTTATGTACACTAGCTTGATAATTTTTTAGTCTTTCAATTGTATATTTGTGGGCGAAGTTTTTTTTATCATATTATTAGTTTATTCATAAATATATAACCGAATAAAAAAGATTCATGACCCCAAGTAATTTTCATACAATTGAAATTCTTCAATTTTAATGCAATTACGATTTCCATAATTTTAGATATTTTCTCTTTGCATTATGCTATAACAACATCTAACCAAACTTAAACTTGTACGTACAAATGCATTGACAATTCTTCCACCCTTAACCCATAGGGTGGCACTAGGGGCACACCCCCAACCACATCCCAAACAACACCCACTCTCTTACATGCTACAGTGCACCGGATCCCATATGCGATTAAGTACACATGTCAAATTTTGGAGAAAGTTGGAACTCCTTATTTTGAAGACCATAACAATTCGCCTAATTTTTTCATCAATTTCGTTCACCTCTTAACGTGCTCCGCGGATCATCACACAGCAAAAGTCATCCAAGCTCCCGCGTTTCTTCTCCAACAAAATTACAGACCCCGCC